TCTACATAGGAATAGCGCTTGCATGGTATTTTCACTGTAATGACAGTAAAATATCGCTTGCGTTAGAAATAAATAACAAAGCCTTTATTCATTTAAATTGCCTATAGAAAACTTAATCAGAATCTTGCACAGAGCATAACATTTTCGGTAATTATGCCGAATGTTAGCCGAAATTTGCGCGGATCACCATGTCTAGTACATTGTGGAAAACGTTCGCGAAAATCGTTTGCCAAAAGTTCAGGACTTCAGTTTTCTTTTTGTTTTGTGTATGCCTAGAAATAAGCAGATATCAGTTCCTTCATGTTGGTTGTTTGTATTGGCTTTTAGTGGTTATTTACGTTATTTTTGTGTGAAGATAGTTTGTTCCATGCTAAACAAATTTAAACATTTCTGGTGATTTTGAAAGCAAGCCTAAAGGAGATTCTGAAAACCACAAAAACCAAACGAAAATTTGACGACTAATAAATCAGGAAACTGAGTAAAATCTGAAAGCAAAATGAACAAAGAAAACCTTGGATACTCAAAAGAACTAAAATACTTGCGTAACAAAAGTGTCGGTGCCATCATAAAGAGCAATCGCAGGAGCAAAACGAGAGCCCGTACCAGTGCTAAGACTCATGACACCGTCAACAGCAACCTTTAGATTTATCTGGTTCCCGTCTATTGCGGCTTCGTTAATTCTGCCTTCCGTTCCTGTCCTAATCGAACGAGAGAATTGCCCCTCATTAACCGGTCTCCTTTCCAAGCTGTTAAACGGATTGAATGTGTATGTACGATGTTCTTCGCATCTGTCTCGTTTAACCGCATGACGACACGACGTAAATTTATGCAGTCATATTTTTTAGACATGCTGGATCATGTAGGGATGCCGAATCCACACAAGTTCTCTTCATCGTCCTGAACGTCTCAAAAATGGGGAAGAGTGATTTACTGCTGCTGTTGACAGCTGTACTTGGGTGGCACTTACGAATTCATAATCCATAATCCTTAAAGCACACTTATATTTTGTGTGTATGCCATTGTGCACTGTGCAGAAATGCGCAGCGCAAAAAAATAATTTCACCAATGCTGCTGTTATTTTCACTAAACTTTGCATTCCCAGCTAATCACGCTGCTATATGAGCCGATGAATGCGCCATTACACTACGTTTGCGCATACTGTTCCAAGTTCCTGACTTCCTGTCACCATCAGCTTAATGGTCCTGATACCTGAGCGCTTGTATTGGTGTTGTTATGATAAACACTGCAGCAGCATAGTTTATTTTGGAAAACTGGAAAAGAACATTCCGCACGCTGGAAGCCGTCCTTGTTTAATCGGTAATCATTTTTGAGACTGCGCAAATATTGCCAGACTGTCGTCACCAAAAATTTAGCCACCGCTGGGGACGTCGCGGACGGGTGGTATCAGTGCGGGGAGCGGAGGTGCCTGACCTGTCATAAACCGACTTAAAAACAGGTCTCCTGGAACAAAATATCGTTAAGGGCCGCTACGGACAGCTGGAAAACCGAGATACTGGGCGAGAGTAGTAAAGTTAATAGAATGTACGAGTAATAGTAATTTAGGAATAGAATATATGCAATATTTTTAAGGGTCCATCTGTCTGAAATTGAATAATATTGCTCTTCCGCCGCCAAAGAAACCACTATCACCCGTGTAAGTGATCTGTATGTGTGAAACCACTCGCACATTACCGATTCGGCACTTTGTTATTAACGGAACGATACATACCCCTTTCCTGAATTACAACGGGTGCTGCCATTTTACCCTTTGGTTAACACTGTTATTACTCGTATATGTACATGCGTGCACAACGCTACTTGCTTTTTGGCGGCGCCCCCCGATTCGCTCGGCGAACTGGCCGACACACCGTGGCATGTGGAGGCTTGCGAGGTGAGTGCCAGCTGCTGCATAGAGAGAACATCTTAAAATAACAAAACCAGTAAATCTGTTGAAAGGAAACGAAGGAAATAAAGTTAAATAATTGTAAATTGTAAGCAATGAAATGTTGCTTATACTCTGTAATGCGTATGTTTAAAATCAATCTAAAGCATGGTATTTTCAATTTTTTATAGAAAGACGATAGCGTGTTATGGCGGTCTTATGTGGCACAGCAACAGCACAGGAATGATCCGTGGTTGTTGTAGTGCAGTGGCTACTAGCTGCATGCGGCGGTATATATCAGCTGTAAAGCCACAGTAGCTCATGAAGCAACGTTATAGACTATAGCGGTTAGAGATTTTGTTTTTCATCTTCCGAATATTGAATTATCCGTCGGCAGTCGAAACCAACTTCGATAACGCTTGGTTTTTTTTATTTTTGTCGTAAACAGTTTATGGTTGGCTTTTTTGCTGTCAAGTGAATTTTTCTTTTTGCGTTTTTCAACTTTTTGATTGTTTTAAGTAGCACGTTGCATTCTACAAGCCTTGCCGTACAATAAAAACGCTTAAAGGGAACAATGGGCTTCTTCTGCAGCTGCAGGAAGATTATTTATTAATAATTATTAGTTACAGCAGCCCTTTCAATTTTAATGTAGTGTAAAAAGTTACGGCTTCTCCCAAAGGTGTTAGATTTAGCTGCCATGCGGACCGTTCTTTCATTTTTCTGTGATTTTGAAGGTTGTTGTTTGAAGTATTTATATTTACTGCATGCCGGTGCGAGCACTCGAACGACCTTTGACGACGCTAATAACCTTGAGAAGTCGCTTTTATTTCGTATTGCGCGTGGACGCATTAAAAAGCGGTTAGTCGACATTTCACCGTAAAGAAAAATATTATTATCGTTTATCATATTAACTGTGGCTAAATGAACAATTACTAGAAGATTCGGCATGAAAATGGATCATGATTTGTGTAGTGCAATGGCTTGTAATCCGTGCTAAACCAGTAAATAACCGGGCCACAACGGTTAGCAAAAATAAAGCATTATTAAGTATTTCGGTTGGAGATTCGTTTTTGCTTTTCACGTTATGGGCGAAGTCAGTCACCAGTTAACAACTTTGATGGCACTATTGACACTGACGCTTACCAGTTATTTTCCGAAACTTCCACACTTCAGATTGGCATTTCTAAAATACTTGTTTGCTGTGACGTGTACGGGCGTACTAGCCCCGTCCACATCGGTACTACTTTACTACTTCTACCCTGAGGCTTAGGCTTACTCCTTACTACAACTTCTACGCGAGTCCTGACCCCGAGTCTCTATTTCGACTTCTCAGAAATCTCCGGCAGAGAACTTTGACCGCGACTTGCCATTTCGACGTGACCGCGACTCAGTGACGTAGCTCAACCTATTGTTCTAGTGTACCAGCTGACCCTTTGTTCTTATTCGTCCACGTGTGTAGATGCTTTCTAGGTGCTCTCATTAGATTAGTCCACGTGTATGCAGTCGTCTCTCATTGGTTAACGTTTAGATCCCCATTGTTCTCAGATCCGTACCTGCGCGTACGAAGAGCCGCACCTGCGAGTGCCCAGGGCTATATAAGGCGCTGGTCGCCCACAGAAATGTCAAGAGTTGTAATTCTAACAAAAGTAGGGGTTTGTACTCGATCTGATTAACTTCAGGCTTTTGCTCTGGTCTTCTCTTTCCAAGTGAGGCTGTTCAAACTGACCTCTGGGTGACCTTTCACCTATTGTCAGGGGTCATCCCTCTATCTCGTCGACGTGCATTATCATCTTCGGATAATCTCGTGGCGTAACAGGTTACCCACTTGATCCCACTTGCATCCCGTGACCTTTCGATCTCTTCTTCGATCTTCATGCCCTGTATCGCCAGGTTGATGGATATTTTTCTTATCGCTTCTGCTAACATTTATCGTCGGACAGGTAACGTATACTTCTCCGCCGTTCGTGTTTCTCGTGTTTGCAGGATCCGGACCTCTTCTTCTTTTCCTTTCCTACTTCACCCAGATCAACGTTATCTTCTACCATCTTCAGTAACAGTTTGAGAAAGAGTCGCTCTATCCGATTGTGACGTGGTCGGACAAGTGGAGTAGTACCCACTTTATTGTGCAAGGTCTGTATTTCACGTCAGCTGTTTGTGCTGGCTGAGATGGCAGCCAGCACGAAAGATTTTGGTAACTTGACGGAAATTTGTACACTGCAGCCACACGCGCTTGTACGAATTTCCGTCAAGTGCAGGGCTAGTGTACAGTATGTGCACTGAAAGCTATGACCTCCGCAACGGACAAAAATCAGAAATGCAGTCTATAGGCCCGCTACGTCACACCAGCCAGTAACGACGTACTCGACATTGATTGCGGTGACGTCATACCGGTCAGCTGCGTGATGTCTCAATGTGGCTTCCGTAACGCATTTCCGTAACAAATTTCCGCTGAAACTGATTTTCTTGAAACGGGTTTCGTAACGGACAGAAATCTTCAGTATGGCAAGTCTTCCCTACGCTCCGGTCGGTTAAGAGACATGTTATATTATTGTAAAAGTATATAGTGCCAAGAAAAACGGTAACAGTCTACAGGTTAATTTTTCTATTCGCCCTAAATTTAGCTCTACTCAAATAAAGCCCCGCCTCGAAATCGTGACGTTTACAGCTAAACTGTGTGAGCCACGACGATAAATCAGCGAGTTACCGTATCGAGTTCGCTCGTGAATTTCTGCCTGTGGGCATAGGAAATTTTAAACTGCATTAGATTGCTTAATCAATGCAGCGTCAGATTTCCACCGTCAACTTGCACTTAGCAGTTGCTGTGCCTGCGCGTTACTGCTGAAAATATTAAAATTATAATTTTAATTTTTTGAGATTTTACGACTTCGCTTATCATTATTTTACTCGTGATTTTGTTGTCATGAAATCCGATATACCGTGTACGCAGTCCTTTGAAGATGGCTTTTCCTCCCAGCCAACGCTTGTGCAGGTCGAAATCGCGAAACACAAAACCCAGACACGACATCGATGGACATCTGCAGAAGACATCAGGCTGCTGCGCCAGTATTTGTGCACAGTGAAGGACCACACAGGAAAGGCTGACGAATTGTGGCTTAAGATGCACCAGCGTCTTATCGAGTTTGAGCCGCTGAAGGAGATATCTCAGCGTGCAGTACGAGCCTCAGACTTATTGAAGATTTTCGCAAGTCAAACAGACTCGACAAACGGCGCACTGGAGAACCTGGAACGTTTAAAGAGCAAGAACAGCTGCTGTGCGAGACACTCAAATTCGAGGCGGTCGCTGCCAAACGCCCATCCACGCAGAAGCCGCAGACGAAGGAGATGGAAAAGCAGGCGCGTAAAGACTTACAGTTCCAGGTGGCAGCAAAACACAGCATGAAGAAACGAAAGCGCCTGTCGGAGGCTCCTGAACCTAACTCAGACGAACCGATCGGTAAGAGATAGCAAATGTTACTGGATCGTTTTCGAAATCAGTTTTATTTAAACCAAAGCATTTAATATATATTTTATTTATTGTTATTTAATACTTTTTCTTTATGCTGTCGAACTCGATGTTTTTTTGCTAGATAATAAAATTGTAGATAAATAATGTCAGTGTTTTGCTAGATGATTTTGATGCTCGTGTGAACGGATACGGTCCCTTCGCACCGGACGACGAGAGTGGAAACAGTGGTCGATTTCCCAAGCTTGAACGGATGAGCTGGAACGGCATGTTACAGAATTTTCTGTCAGACTCGAAATCGATGCGAGACAAAGAATTGCAATTAAAAGAGTCAGCGTTAGAACTGGAAAAGAAGAGAGAAGAGCGGCTGGCTGCAGAACAAACTATGAAACTCGAAATTCGAAAAGGGAAATTGGAAGTTGAAAACAAAAAGGAAGACAATCGCTCCGAAGAGTTAAAAGTACAAGCGATGAATGCACAACTTTTTGCCAAGTTACTGGAAAAATTCTCGTTCAGAATAATTTAGCATCGTTTGATGTTTTTCTCGAAATCGAGTATCTCAAGACGGTGGCTAATACTAAAGTCAAAGATTAAGTCGTAGTTGTGTTTTGGCAATTTTTTGTTGGCTTTAGAACTGTTGTACTATTTGTTTACCAAGAAAACTACTGGGAATTATTTCCAAATCTGATTTGTGTAATTCCGTTATTTTATTTTGAATAGGCCCGCTGAACGTTTATTTTAACAGTTCCCAAGATGAGACAGAAACATCGAAATCGATTTATGGCTGCTCAACAGAAACAGTTCCACAGAAAACCAGCAATCTATTCTCTGTTGTTGTTTAGGTAAACTTCCAGGGTCGGTGGGACTACACAAAAATAATCAGCAACTTTTCTCCCGTACCCCAAACAGACACGACAATTCAGTAGTAAAGTTCCAACTGTGTAGAGAAGTCCAACTGGCTGCAAATATATTTTGAGATTTTTCCGGGAATCGAGAAAAGCAAACTGTTGGACTACTTCTCCGAAACCCCACTCAACTGCGATACGACACGCTGACATGGCTTCTTTAAAATCGTACTCGATCTGATTTGTTGCTGGTTTAAACGGACCCTCGAGATGCGCCGAAATCGGATAAGCACGGTCTCCATAAAGGCGAAAAAGTTTCCCATTTGCTCCATTTTTGTTTCCAGCGCACGTAACAGGCCACTGTCCGCTAGTATGCCTGAATCGTGTCGACGTCCAGCCCACGGCCCATCCAGATTTACCACAATGCCGATAGGGGCCATAATGCTCTGGAATTTGATGCCATGAAGACGATAGTGGCCGCTATATACTGTTCTCTGATCCTCACCAGGACGACAAGTTGGGCGGAATGTACCGTCTATGAAGCCCCAGACGTCATCCAGAGGACATCCCTTTCTGTACACGGCGGCCGCGAATTCGTCCATATCTGCTCGTGTAAGCCAACACAGGTCCAGTGTAGTTAATAGATGACAAAACAGCGTGTTGATAAATTCACACATCCAGGTAAAAATCATCGATAACTCAGCTTTTGATCTCCCAAAAATGTGCTTGATGTCCGTGTAGCGACTAGGGTATGCAAGACGTCGCAGTAAAATACACAGGGCTTCCATACCATCATAACGGGATCCGTTTTCGAGGCGGATTATTTCGGTAATCTGCAATGCCTGCAATAGTCTTTCTAAATGCTCCCTCCGAAATCGAAACCATTCATAAACATCTGCGTCGTAGAGCTGGTCTAAGTTAAGAAGAACACGAAGCGGTCGTTCCACATTGCAGATGCACAGAAACTCAGCTTTCTGCTGATCAGACAGAATGTTTGAGACCAAAATCAAAGAAACAGTTTTTTTGTCCATGATGCAAGGTATAAGCAGGGTATATTCAATATGCAGGGTAATTCATTCAAAAACTTAAGAACTGCTTTTCGAAATCGATATTAAACAATTTTAATTAGTTATTCACGTGTTTCGTAACAAACCCTACGCGCGATGCGCGTAGCGCTATGTGAAAACTTAACAAGTGGACACTAGGCGCTAATTTACAGCTCCACTCTTATTATGCGTTCAGCGATGCGTTCAGCTAATGAAAAACTTCTTCTGTCTAGTGAGTACGATTTTGCAACTTACTAGTAGGCAAAAACTGGAAATCGCACATTTAACCGCCCGTGGAAGACCTCCAAGTTGAGTGCATATCGCAGACTTTCTCCCGCACTTCAACGAAAACTACAACACTAAATGCTAACTGTAGGAAGACAAAAAAAAGTGAAATTAAGAGGCCAACAAGAATTAATAAGGCATGAAATTAAAGACCAAAAATAGCTAAATAAATTTTAAGAAAATCGCACTGCTTCGGATTACTTCGATTACATATGGTGCGCGCGCTTTAGCGTGAACTTTCTAATGGCACGTTTTTAGTATCCTGCTAACTACATTCTGCACTGTGGAAATTTCACCTTAACTCGCAAAGGTATGGAAATATTCCACAATTAGCGCGCATTTTATTGAAGGAAAATGTAGTGTAAAGGCTTTAATGAAAGCGATGTTCTTCCCGACAGCCGCTTGCCGAACTAAGGTTGCATGTTTTAATTAAGGTCAGTGCTATGCGCCCCGACAACCGGGGCGCAAAGCAAAACGGCTGTGCGCCCCGATCGGGGCGCGAAGTAAATTGGCTGTGCGCCCGGTCAGGACGCGAAGTAAATTGGCTTTGCGCCCCGAATTTTCGAATTTGCGCCCGAATTTTCTACGCCAATAATTATCACGTAATACACTGTGCAATGGGTATTATAATGTTTCCGGAGAGACAGGTGACCTTGAAAGCACATAAATGCATGAACTACAGGACATGTTGATCAGAACAGAAATACGAAAATATCCAATAAATGAGGAACTCAACATGAATATTATTGCTTAAACTGTAATTTGCATACTAATTATTCAATCATGGAAATTTGCGCAATCGATCCAGGCCCAGAAATGCAGTTTGAAACTCTACGGGATCTAGAAACATATATGGAGGCATATATGGCGAGAACAAACCAGCTGTTCATCAAAGGAAAGAGGACAGAGCTGGCGTTGGCTAGAGCTGGCCTTGCATCAGTGAAGTCTGTTACCGGCTTCCTCAGCCCTCTGTGGGTGCAGAGATGCCAGCCGGATTACGAGGTCATTCAAACAGTGAGAGAAGATTACTTGAATGGAAAAACTATCGTGCAACCTTTGTTTAACATGACGAATCATTTCGTGACTGCCAAAATCGATCCACAGACACGTGTCGTAACTCTCTATGACTCGCTGGGATGGACACCCAGTCCGTGGGTTCTTCTGCAAATATGGACGCTGTGTGGCGATAAGGAAGATGTTAATATCGTGATGCCGCCGGTTCCGAAACAGTCGAGCGCGTCAAATAACTGTGCCGTTTACTCGTGCGCGTTTGCGCTTGATATCATGCTGAAAGGAAATCCTGAAACATCGAATTATAAAGAGGAAACAGAATTCCGACAATGGCTGAAACAAATAATCGAAACTGAAATAGTATCAAAACCGCCAAAGAAACGTGGACGATTTACGCACGAAACCACCAAACCGGAAACACCGAAAATGACGCTTTCGGCTGAACAAGCTGCTAATTTGCGAGTTTCTTTGAACTGCCCGCTAAAAGATGATCTTGAAGAGATGAACGGTGTACTATTTTAGTACCTTATTAGAAGATTTCAGTAAATTTTGTAATTGGTTTTACCTGTATTTTGCAAACCCATTAAATTCGGGGCCTGGACGGTTTTCGTTTCCACATAAAATTCGGGGCGTAAGCCAAATTACTTCGCGTCCTGACCGGGCGCACAGCCAGTTTACTTCGCGCCCCGATCGGGCCGCACAGCCATTTTACTTTGCGCCCCGATTGTCGGGGCGCACAGCCATTTCGTTTAATTAATGGTAAATTGTTAATTATAGTAAATTTTTTTGTAAATACAGGGGAAAAATTAAGAGGAAAAATAAATGGTATGTTTTTACCTGCAGGGATGTCTAGGCTCCTGAAGTCTTATAGTGCCAAGTGAAGTACTGTAATTAATCGTATTGCATGCAGTTCAATTACCATTGTTTATCATCTAGTTTAACAGCGCTCGATATACTATTTTGTTATATAGCAGATCGACGGCACGTCCATTTAGAGTTCCTTTAGTTTGGCTACTTCCAAATTTTTGGCGCCCAGTCGCAACTAACGTCGATGCCGGTCGGAGGTGGAGAGTTTCGGCCATAAATTCGCGGAGCGGCAGTTTCTTTTCGGTAGTAGCCGAATACGTTTGTCGACATCCATACAGTACCATCCATACAGAAAGACGATACGGCCTATAAAACCAATCAAATAACTTCTTTACGGTGATGACATGATAAGTATGAGTGACTTGTTTAATACAGTGGCTTGTCGCCATAGTCATGGATGGTGACAGTTTTCGCAACGGCTATTAAAACCGCAGCCTACTCAAATGTTTCCTACTCCCTTTTTCTCCTTAAGCATAACCGGTACAGTCAAAGACTGAAAACCTAGTCAGTACACTAAATTCGATGACGCTTATTTATTTTCTCTCTAAAACATTTGTACATCGCCGTAGGGTTTTCACACCGTATTCCGTCAATTTTCAGCTTCAAGGCAAGCAGCACAGAAATACCGAATATCGTTGCTATTTGGTATTTCTGTGCTGCTTGCCTTGAAGCTGCTAATTGACGGAAATTGGTAAGTGGTTGGTAAGCAAAATTGCAACCTGATGGTTCTTTATTTGGAAAATTTTTCGTAAATTTTCTTTTAGTTCTTAGGCTCCCTAAAAAGGTTCCATAAAAGCCGCGAGCGCGCCGTCCTCCTGACCAGCCAGCAGCGTCTGCCGAACCGCATTTTCCCATACCAAAATGGCTGGAGAGATAGGATCATAGGTACCTTTATTTACATGTTCGTAAAAAATACTGATTTCGCATAAACTGTAATACTTGATGTAAAGACTAGAAGGCACCGTTCCAAGAACAAAATCAAAATAAGTTATGGACTGTTTAATAACGAATAAGTTTTTCTATATGATAATTTTTTTCCTCAAACGCATGTTGAAATTAGACGAAAATTCTGTGTGCAAGTACTCGTATCTGTAGTTGTATAGCAGCATTTATATTTTTCCTTTCTGTTTTATACTGCGATGATCTCCTCTTCTACATATGTATCACACATAATTGGCCACATTTCGCATTTGACCTTTGAAATCAACATACGTGTAGCGGTGTAGGTTAACTGATGATCGCCGTTAACTGCGCATAAAATACAAGATCATCGTAGTGCGTGGGCGTGCTAGCTTTCACATTTGTGCTAGATTACTAAGCTTTCCATTTATAAAAATTGGTCGTAGAATGTTCCACTTATTTTTCACATCTCAAGGAAATTATAAGGGCACTGTAAAATGTTATAAGAGCATTATTTGTAAAAAAGGTTGATTTTAATACAGCTCTGAATCCTCTGATACGCCACGTTCGAAACTTGGGCCCAGAAATCGTTGTAAATAATCCGTCAGCGAACACGTTACATAATTTTTACGTGACTACTGCATGTCTCCGCTGTTCAATATCGTTCGCACTCGCGTTTCCACTTTTAAAACACTTTTGGAATTACAAAGAGACAGAAAGGGTCGAGAAGCTTTTGAAGGTTTGTTTAATTTAGTCTTCTTCTGTATTCCTTCCAAAGGAAGTCTTCCGCCACAGAATGATACCGTGTTACTAGCACTAGAATCTACACGAATTTACGCACTGGAGCGCTGCAGAAGCAGCTCCACCGCATCACGCCTACTCATAACTGGCTGCATCAAGCAGGCGTGATGCTGCAGCTGGACGACACGCTCCAGTGACTGGACGCCACCTAGGAGTTCAAGGTCGCATTTCTGTTTAAGTTGTGCATATATAAATTATTGCAGCAACGTGATTTCAAAAGTGGATTACGAGTACTATCTCGTGTGCCATGTGACAAAGCCATCATCGGCCGTGACCTTGTTCTACATTAAAAATGTTCAGTTAGGCCGATAATGACATGTGGCCTGTAAGATTGTTTTTAAAAACCTTTATTTTTGTGATTCTCTTGGTGGTCGAATTAAGTAGCATTACATGTAGAAAGAAAGCCAAGGAGTCGTAGAGATAGGTGCCCATATCAAGATAGATGTTATTTATGCGTGGCACTGTGCAAAAATAAGCAACGCAAAAAAATGATTTCCCAGATTAATCTGCTCTTTTACTGGAGTTTACACGGGCAGTTATTCCGGAACGAACCCACTAGATTGTGTTCGCCGTACAGCCACATTAGACGGTAAACCATATATGGTCCGGTGCGGACCGTATCGGAAGTGCACCGGAGAAGACGTTGCGTGTTCGCAACTGTTTGGGACCGTACGATATACCACGCACGATTACCGTTCTCCATTTTTAATTTTTTGGGAAGATCTTAGACGTCTGTGATGTATCTAGATTCGCGTGTTTCTTGACCTTCTTGTACTTTCTATATTTCTGTTCTCTGCCCTTCGTCCTAGCAACTTTCTGTGCTTCTCCTGTTCTCTGGTTACGGTTCTTCCCATTACATTTATTCAGTTCTCTGCTCAGTTGCGATAAACATTAAAGTGCTACGATACGAGTCCATATCATACGCTACAGTATACATACCACCGATCTCACAACGTCGCAGCATTTTTAACATTTGAGTTCAAATTTCTTTCTGTGAAAATGCGTTTCTTTATTATTGCCCATTTATTGAGATCAGGACGAATAGACAGAAGACAATTTACCGCATCAAGACTCCTTAAAAGAAGACAGGATGAAGCGTATTACCGTGAAAAGCAGGAGGCTTGGATCGAAAACCGTTTCATCTCGTCCGCTTCTCGGATTTGGATTGTTGGAGGATGTTTCGAGTCCGGAAGGATGATATAGATCGCCCACGGATGGCTTTGCGCATCCCGGATCTCGTTCGTACTGTAGAACGAGATAGATGTACTGGTATAGAAGCCTTGTGTATTTTGTTAAAAAGGATGTCGTATCCTAATCGATGGTGTGATCTTCGGAGTACTTTCGGACGATCTCATGGGTCTGTGGCGCGAATTTTTTATCATACGCTGCGATTGGTTGACTGTCACTGGTCCCGGTTGCTCTCTGCCCTTAACCAGCCTTGGCTAACGCAGGGAGACTTTGACGAGTTCTCTCGTGCTATCACAGCAAAAGGCGGAGTCTATTCGCGAGTCAGTGGATTCATTGACGAGAAAGCAAGGGAAATATGTCGCCCAAAAAGACACCAGCGTATTATGTACAGTGGCCACAAAAGGTTTCACTGTACGAAATGGCAGTCTGTGCTGTTTCCAAATGGTGCGTTAACAAACTTTATAATATTCTCCAATAAAATTGCATGTAGCAGAGCAAAAACAAATTCTTTAGATAATTTATTTAAACTTTTAACAGGTATGATCGGTAACCTTTACGGAGCGAAAGAAGGATCCATGCACGACAGTAGGATGTTTGCCGAAAGCAATTTTTTGCAACACTTCCGCGAAAAACAAGCTCCATTTAACCAGCGATATTATATTTATGGAGATTCAGGATACGGCCGAAAAGATTTGTTGATAAAACCATTTTCTTAAACAGAGACAGCGACCAACCCCTTAAAATACGCCCTGAATGAAGCCATGTCAACAGTAAAAGAGTCAGTGGAATGGGGCTCCAAAGAAGTTGTCAAGGAATTTTGCTTTCGTAGATTACAGGAAAGAGATGAAAATTTTTGCAAAACCAGTTAATAAGATTTTTAGAGTTGCTGTTTTACTGACGAACTGCAGAAATTGCTTGTATCCTAATCAAGCCAGTCAGTACTTTAATCTAGAGCCACCACTTCTGAAAGAATATTTGGGAGAATAAAGTTTGAGTACTTGTTACAACGGTTAGTAATTTCTATGAGCACTCATTAGTAATAGTTCAGCAGATTTTTACCACACAGCGTAATTGCATCCCAAAATTTTTTCCAGGGATTTTTCGATTTCTAATTTCTTCAGTTCAACTTGCAGACGCAGTTTCTCCCCTTCTAGTCCTTTTAACCGAATCTCCTTTGCGTCGTCATTCAACTTTGTTTTAACCGCTAATTCTTCTGCAGCTTTAGTCTTTTCAAACTCGTTTTTTGGCGTCCGAGTCTCTAAAATAATCGTGCCATTTCTCATCGGATTCCGCGTGTTGAGAACGAGCAGCATTCAAGCGCGACTTGCGGATCTTTTTCTCCGCTAACTTCTTTGGAGATCCACCAAGCTTAAACTTGCGAGGCGAGAATTTTCTTTTTTTCAAAAGTAAATTCTTCCCAGCTTCGCGAGACCGGATTTCATCTTCCCAGTCCTGTTCATCGCAACCCGTTTCTTTCATCTACTTAATCTTATCTAGACCGCCTGATGAACATGCGGCATCTGGTAAGGTATAAAAGAAATCACTCACAACGTTGTAAAATCCTTTAGGAAAACTCTAAAATAATTCAGGAAGTAATTGCGATGGATAGCAGCCGTAGACTCAGAAGTGTACTGAGAACTGAAGTTTTTGTAAAAAAAAATTTGTAACAGGAAAGGCTAATAAAATATAAGCAAATAAACTGGTCGAAAGAACGAAGTGCGGAACCTAATAATTTATTTCAAATAAATATTACTGTAGATTAATATTTTAACGTAACGGGTAGGGTTTAGTTATTTCGTACTGTGTACTTACTAGTTGCCAGTTTTAAGTGGCCATCTTCGTCTGTCGGAATGTTTCGCCCGTGCTCGCCCGCTGTCTTCATGAGTTTCGCGATTTTTTGCCGCTCATTCTGGGCTTCAGTGGCAGCGCGCTTTTTTTCCGCTTCTGTTTCTTCGGAATCTTTAATAATTTCACACATTTCAGTCAGAAGGGACTCCATCCGCCCGTACTGCTCTTCACTACCACTCCGGCTTTTATTCCGCAAATCCTGGGCTTTAAACCAAGCCACCAAATTTGCAAACCGCTCCTTGACGGCTCTGTCTGTGAGAGGTTTTGGGAAAATCTGCAAAACGATAGTTGTAGTGGCACGTAGCATTGCACGGCTAAAATCTAAATGCATGCAGTTTTAGTCAACTGATTTTCTCTTAATTTTTGCCTTGGTCTCGTTGAGCGATCGCACGATGTCTTTCCAGGCAGCGGTCCTGTTATCAGCCAACGTAGGGATTGTAGTGTTTGGTCAAATCAAGGAGAGCCAGGTCAGAGGTTGCATTGAACCGACACTTCAGTGGGCGCACATTAGGGATATCTTGATTAGTTTCTCCTGTAACTGCATCCATCGCGATAACTTCAAAGTCAGAACCAATCTACAAATCCGTCTCAAACATCCGACTTCAAATCGTTTCGCATTCGGGCGCCAAATAAATCCACAGGATGTGGGAAAAGTTTTGGTTTAAAAAGAACTCATTAGAGTTTTTCACAAAAATCCTATTTCTTCTTTGTTTACACAGCGAAATACATGAATGTATAAACAACCAATCAGAATTCTGGGATTCGCAAGATCGAGCGGACGGTTTATCGAAGTATATGCCAGCTAAGGCGGCTGCAGTTTCGCAAGGACATACGTTACGCCCACGAAAGCATAACGATAGGATCACGACTTACCGTTATTCCTATCGTCAAACGATCCGATAAGGGTACGCCGTGATGACGTGAACGAGCCTATCGTATAACGTAAGTCTATCGTATGGTTTTTTTTACGTGCGAACACAATCTACTGACTGCGCCATTACGCTACGTTTGCCTCATACTGTGCGCATAGCTAGACAGCGCTAGACACCACGTAAGGGAAGTGTGTCGGTACGGTACACAAATGTTGACACATTAATAGCAGACCTCAAGCATATCCAGCTTTATCATTCCCAGCCTGGTATTGCTTTAACAATTTTTTTGGTTCGAAGTCCAAAGAGATAAGCAATAACCAATAACCACAGATACCGACTGACTTATGCGAGCGATGTTTGAATGCTGCGCTTACTAGTCACGCATCGTCGGTACAATGCATTTATCGTAAGACGATTTGGATGAACGGCAACGGCGACTCGGAGAACAGCGAAGAGATAAGGAATAAGAAATAACAGGAAATGATACTTCGAGAATTTTGACTGAAAGAACCTCATACTTTTCATAGAACATAATTGTCGCTTTAAATTTTCTACAGAGAAGCTACGTAGTGCATTGCTATTTGCACGTATAAAAGGGAAGCAATTAGCGCGATGGATCAGAATGTTTTGTACCGCTCTTCTAAAGAACGTGCTGTGATATTTTTCGCAAAGAAGGTTTCGCCTTTGTCAAAAATTAATTAATTAAGCAGATCAGTTGCTAATTAAGTGTCAGTTCATTTTGTGGCGCTGAATTAAACTGGAAAGTTTACCGTTGTTAGCCGATATGGTACAGTATGCAGTAATTAGCGAGTGTAAACTGTAATTGTAATTAACGCAGGTAGATAAATTACCTAATAGTCTGATATACATTAATTTTTAATTGCTCATTTGGACGCTTATATATACGTATTAAGTGTATGTGCGTAGTAGACTGTTGTTTTCATGACCTGTATGCCTGATGCCGTGATGCGTATTTGCAAAACAGAGCTGTTCACGCAGGTATTTGTAAAACGTGCCGTATCTTTCCTTCGACCAGTTAAAAAGCAGATCGGTTCGGAATGTTATGAATCATAATCCTGGCCAAAACAAAACCAGACCGGAGATAAGAAAGCCAGAGGTGATTGAGGACGCGTAATGTTGACACATTAACCCAGTGACTGCTCGTCATAAAACCGGAAAAGAATGTGGGCGCTACTGAAGATTAGCGAGCACATTCCGAAGTGGAGAGCGGTGGACGTTTAGATGATTCTGGATGCTGCTGACGCATAAAAGTGTGCGCAAGAGTGACCACATAACCATTCCGCTCGATATAACGAGCACAATTTGCTGCGCACGATATGCTCCCAACAAGGTTAAATAAAGTGTACTGTGTGCTGCAACGATGTACGATGTATTATGTACTGAAACGATGCACTGCGTGATCTGGCGTTTTTAGGTGAACATTGTTGATCTGAATAACCCAATATGTATATACTCGTATACAAAAAAATGTTTCACAAGCAACGAATGAGGGCTTGTTTCGACTGGTTGTGCTACAAAGAATTCTGAAAAAATTGACATTTCACCATTAGACGCTGTAATTGATTTTTGTTTGCACAAAACGGACTGAAAATGAGTTCCGTTCACCGAAACATTGATTATTCTGGCAATTTTGTTATAAATGTGGTTTCGATTAATTGCGCTGTTGTTATACATGCTGCATGATTCGAATGCAAGGGAGAGCTTTTCGTAGTGCAATGGCATTTGCAAAGGATCCGCGCACGAAATCGCGACTGCATATAGTGATAAATCACAACGCTGTCGAAATGCTTTTTTACCGAATTTCGTTGTCCGAAGTCCAAGATCGCTTTTCATCCTTAATAATCTGAGTTACGTATTTCCTCATCCGACTGAGTTACAAGCTGGGAAGTGAAGCATTCATACGTTCCACCGTATGAACTTTAACACACGATAATAATCAAGATAATACTGTATTTTGCCCGTCCACTGGCAATTCTTGTTAACGGCTCAGTAATGTTGCGCCTTCTATTCTGCATTCTTGCTAATTCTTCGCCGGCAAATTGGTCGGGAAAAGTCGATTTTAGCAAACCATAAGCCGCTGGCATTTTTCGAAAAGTATATTTTTGGAAGGCGTGGGTTGTCTATCAAAAATTTATAAATTTTGTTTGTCCTTCATTCCGATAATTTTTATCCCCAACGCATGCCAGGAGAATTCTGTCCTCATTATAACAAAATAATTTCAAGCAGAAAAATGTTTTTTTTAATTTTCTGATAATTTAAGTGAGTCGACCCAAAAATTCGTCTTCTGAGCTTTTGTGATGCAAGTTTTAGATCTGGCGGCGACGAGTTAGTCTTGATGAACATCATATTTAATTCTGCACGAAAAACAGTCAGATAAAATGTACTAGACGTGAGTTTTCCTCGGTTTTCACATTTTACAAAAACGAATAAAATTTTAGTGACCTTTAATATTACCTTTAAGTATGTTTAGAGATTGCACTTTAAAGTGCAATGAATAACCTATGCAATAAAAACTTAAATGAGTCTAAACAATTCAGTAATCAAGTACCGTTTTTACAGAAAGGCGATAGCGCCTACAGAGACCAATCAAGTACTTCACAGAAACGATGCGCTCTTGATGTGTGGATTGTGTAGTGCGGTGGCTATTCGGCGTTGTGCTATGAGTAGATGGAAGCCTGACAGACCCGCGCAATGGCTAATAAAAACCGCCTTAGCAAAATTTACGTATTCCTCTTTTTTTCTTATTATCACCGATAAAACTGGAAATCAGTCAGTCACTGTCATTGTACTAACTTCGATAACGCTGATTTTAGACTTCATATAAACATTTTGTCGCTGTGGATGTTTTATATTTTAACCCAACAAACGTCAAAATCAATTATTTTCCTTTTAATTATTTAATTTTTTGATAAGAATTCTTCCACGCCACTGCCACCTCCCGAAATGTTTATTTGCGCTTTTTCAGAAAAATAGCA